CGTAACAAGAAATGCGCGCAAAGAATTTGAGAATTTTAGGCACTTTCAGAGGATGCATTTGTCAAGGGGTGGAGAGAGATTTTCCAAAGATGGATATTTTCCCCTTGTCCCCCGGTGTTCTTAATGTTAATTTCGTTGGAATTGATCAAAACTCCCTAAAATGTGCAATTTTTAGGGGAAATTTGGCCATGCTAACAAGAAATGCGCGCGAAATTTGAGGTTTTTAGGGACTTTCAGGGGATGAAAAGGCATTTATAAAGGGGTGGGGAAGATTTTTCAAAGATAGATATTTTCACCTTATTCCCCAGTGGTTACGCCATCGGGCAGCATAGATCAAAGGAATTATGACAGTTTTTAAAGTGGAGAAGGGGTTACAGAGTGTTGTGAGTCTGGTCATTATGATATCTTCCTTTTTATTCTTGTCTTTATTTTTCTCTTATCTTTTTCTTTCCTTTTCTTTTCCTCTTCTTTCTCTTTCCCTCAACCTCCCCTATTTCTTTTCTCTTATTACCCAGCCCGGTACGACGGCTTGGTCAACCCGGTAAAAACCGTCAGGGGAGGGGCAGTTCCCCCCGCCCCCGCGCCTGTTACGACGCCAATCATCCCCCTCAATGAAAAATATTTTTCTACGCCACTGACTAGATCCAATATAAAATAGGTCCATGATAAAACAATAAACAGTCGGCAATAAATAAAAGAGGGTGACTCATTCAATCAATTTCGCATATCCTATTGTTACTTTCGTTGTGGATCATCAGCAGGGGTTAAAATAATACATACCGTATGTGTGTGCATTAGCCAACCACGGTTGTAATCGGGGTAAGCCACCTAATTCTCTGTATTTCTCATAGTATTTTCTATACCATTTAATTCTGAGTAATTCTAGACCAACTGGTTACCATCGTGGATGGAATTCATTGTCTCAACGACTGCATTTGTTGCAAGATTAGGTGATCAGGATCGCTTCAAACATGAACGGGTTAATCTTGTATATTTTTTTGTAATTGTGTTATAATAGTTCATAGTCCATTCTAGTCTCTATCTTTATCTTTCTGTATATAGGGATTGAAACCCAAATTTAATTTTAACATGGCAGTTAGTAAATTGATTTCATTGCGCAACAATTCAATATGAGTAGTACTGTAATAATATACACATAAACTCATATCCTAAAAAAATTTTCTAGTATCGACCCGCATCTGAGAAAGTCCTTCTTCTTGATATAGTCGGGATATTGAATTCATACCTGTACCCTGATGTCAGGAACGCTATGGTGGGCCTTAGTGAATAAATAAAATGTGAACAAATTTGGAAAATATGGCATCTCTAGATCCAATAAATAGCAGCTGGCAATTACCTGCAAAGCAGCTACCCCTATTCCAACCCCATGCAGGATCGATGAACCCCCCCCCCCGGAACCATATGACAATTTAGAGGTTTCAAAGGCTTCAATTATCTGACGACCACTGGCGCCACCTCAACAACACGCCACGGATGGTATGTCAACGACGCGCAAAAGCACTATCCTCCATCAATATCCAATTAGAGGAGCAATATTGGGCATTGTTAAAAATAGCGCTCCGGAAATTTTCGGTTCTATTAGTAATCTAGTCGCCGGGTTATACTGTATTTGTTGTAGTACTGTATCAGTATAGTTTCGCGCCGTCGTCGAATTAGCCATATTGGTAAGTAACACCTGTTGCGTTTTTATTTTTGAAGGCAGGATATGAGTTATAGATGAGGTGACCCTTGTGGGGATGAATCCATAAATAGTTTAAACTAGCAGATAGGTATTAACGATTTGATTCCGTTTCAATAAAGGGCAGTGTATATGTCAAACAGTGAACTTACAATCACTCTTCAAACTATTCTTACCAAAGAAAAAGTCTGTATCGGTATAATTGCGCGTACGTACCACTAACAGGTTGAATCAAAACGTAATAAAATATATGTAAACAATAATGTGAAACTGTTGAAAAAAACACTTACATAGATTTAACAATTTTACTTAAAAAAAAAAAATTAAACTATCATAAAAGTGATCGAAATCACAAGCAACAAGACTACAGTATTAAATTCGTTGGGTACTGCAGAAAAATGCCCCGTTTTAATATACACGCGTCAACAACTGTCAACAACGCTTGTTGACGGTTTGTAGGACCCCCCACCCCCGGAAATCCGATCATCGCCAGCGCCTTGCATCCCTTGCCAAAAGGCGCGGTATAAATCTGTATTATTTTTACCTTCATCCTGAATTATCCAGTCAAGGTCAAAATAATATGGCCAGTCCACCTCTTCATTCCAATATATTCAAAAGCTTTCTATAGTTAAGACTAGCTTTATTGTTGAAGTGCAACCATGTAAACCAACCCACACCACAACGGAATAGCAGTCTTTTGGGGGGTTTTAGATTCCTGTACTTCATACCTGTTTCAATGCCTTTAGGCTACACTTTTGTATTTCAAAACAAGACTGAGGCTGAAATTGCTTAAAAATTGATGAACAAAATAAGAACAAATTTAGGCTAAGGTAAAATGGAAAACCAACAAGTCTTATCAGTCATGTGCAGCAAATTTAATTATATATATATACATATATATACATATATATATGTATATATATAATTAAATTTGCTGTATATATCATTAAAATACTAGTATAATAAATATATATATATATATATATAGTATGTATATATATGTAAATGTAGTGATATGCTATATATACAGTAGTTAAGTACTGTATCTTAGGCTGTAGCTTTAGTGGATTTTCATCTATAGTATAATACGCCTTTTTCACGAATCGGTAGACATCTTGAAGTGATGACAAACATTGCGAATCAGCGGTGCGTAACCAACAGAAATAAGATAAGCTTTTGGGCGGATTTTTTGACATCATGTTATTTAAAAAATCATAACACTACTAAGATAGGCTTTTCTTTTTCAATCTTGATTTCAGAGGTCAACAAAATTTTTCAATTTTTTTTCAATCATATAGTGGTGTAGACTGGTCTTTTAAGAACATTTTCGTGGAAACACTTTTTGGATACGACGCCCCGTTATGGAGTTATGATTTTTTAAATAACATGATGTCAGAAAATCAGCCCAAAAGCTTATCTTATTTCTGTTGGTTACGCACCGCTGATTCGCAATGTTTGTCATCACTTCAAGATGTCTACCGATTCGTGAAAAAGGCGTATTGCAGCTGCTGTATAGCATTGTGGTTTTGTTTGAATTATCTAAGACATTGCCTAGGTTTCCATGACAACTGGTAGATAAGTAGGTTTTGTGGTTGGAGTTAGTAACCTGGAGATGTGTGCTTTGATAGATTTAGTGTAGTTAGTATCGAGTGAGCAGTAGTATTAATAAATAGTGTGTTTCATATTGGATTCCATATATCTTGTTGCTCGCTGTTTTATTTTGTTTGTAGCTGAAAAAAACCTGGGTGGAGATTACTATTATTATTATTGTATAGAGAGCTACATATATATATATAATAAATTTGCTGCATATATTAAAATACTAGTATAATAAATATTTTATTTTGAGACAGATACAGAACTTTGTTTATATATATATTTGTATATATATACATATATATATACATAAATATGTACATGTATATGTATATGTATGTATATCTTTACTTAGATATATTATATATATGTGTAATATATATGTATATTTATAATATATATGTACATGTATATATATAGCATGTATATATATATATATATATATATATATATATATATATATATATATTTGTTTTGATTTTTTACTTAGATATATTCTGTCAAAGGGTTGATTCGATTTCATCACCATAACGATGTCGGTAAGTTATATGAAAGTAGAGTTATAACGTATTCTAATGCCTATTTATATGATTATACAAATAAATGAGAGGAAGAATGATGTAATTAAGATGCATATCTGAAAGATGAGAAATGGTAGAAAATTAGGAGGGAAATAGATAGAGACATTTAAGGGCTGAACCAAGATGGAAGAGTAGTGGACCACTTTGCAAGCAGAATGACCCCACTGGAACAAGTCTGAAGAATGGGTTGTCTTTTTGACACCAACATTATTTTTTTATTGTCTATTCCCAGTTTTTTAAAATTTAGCTGGATTAAATATCCCTATTGTGAGTGGTGTACAAATGACCGTAAAAATGACAAATAATCATTTTGGGATTAATTCTAACATATCGTAAGCAGCAGTCCTATGAGCAGGCCTGTAGCGTGACTTAATTTGTGGGAGGTTCTGTGGAAAGTGGACCCTTTGGCTTGTATGATCTCTGATACTTTGGAAAACATTGTAAATATATCTACGAATATCAATTTTTCTTTTTAAATGCAGACTTTCTCCAGTTTTTGGCCGGTTCATCCTAACCCACTTAGCTCACACCCCACCCCCATCCCCCATGCTACGGACCTGTATGAGCCCTAGGTCCTTGTCTAGTGCCTAGTGGTTTAGCAAGAATTAGAGACAGAATCGCAATCAGCACTACCAGAGACTCTTAATTTCAAATGAAATTATCTGTTAATATGCTTTTTATTTGTAACTTTTACAGACTCAAGGGTATATCATGTTAAGCTACGAATGGGGCAACCAACCGTAAGTGTATCAATAGTAGCTTCCTAAAAATATAATTTAATAATACTATTGTTTTTATCATCATCATCATTATCATTATTATCAAATCAAATATTTTATAAAATATAGTTACAAATTTATTGTTTAATTATAAAATACTGCATATTATCATCATCATCATCGCCATTAATATATTATTATTAAAGATGTATTGTCCTTGGAAATTGACAAAAAATCATAAAATATAATTTTGAAATTAACTTGCTTATTTGCAGTAACATATTTAAATTATTAACTTGAGGAGATTTTATTTGGGTTTATACAGTACGTATCTATTTCACACCAAAAAATAAAAAAATAAAAAAATAAACGCCTCTCTCGAATTTATAAACTGCCTTAAAAAAACGACTTTTCAACAGTAAATGCACCGGGGCGTTTATTCAAATAAATACGGTGCATATGCCTTTAATGGTTCTTGTGGACAACCTTTTATTGTGCTGTTTTTTGTTTTTGTTTTTTTATTTTTTCACAAATTAATTACATTTTAGAATTGTCAAAAAGATAAGAGAGAAGTTGGGACAACTAGGTTACAGGGTGTGGATTGATGTAGAGAAAATGAAAGGATTCATTTACACTACAATGGCTAAAGCCGTTAAAGAAGCTGACCTTGTCCTGGTTTGCTTGTCTAAGAAGTATGAAGAAAGTGAAAATTGCAAATCAGGTAATATTATTATTATTATTATTAATATTATTATTATTATTTTTATTATTATTATTTTTATTATTATTATTATTTTTGTTATTATTATTATTATTATTGTTATTATTATTGTTATTGTTATTGTTATTATTATTGTTATTATTATTTTTATTGTTATTGTTATTATTATTATTGTTATTGTTATTATTATTATTGTTATTATTATTATTATAAATATTGTCACTACCACTACTACCACCACTGTACTACTACTGTACTACTACTACTCAGGGGCGGATTTGTGGTGGGGGGGGGGGGAGTTAGCGGTATTTTTATTAGTAGTTTTTCAAAACTTGGTGAATTTTGCAAAGACTTAGTTTTATGTTATTTTTATTGTTGTATGTAGTTAAAATATTTGGCTAATCCTTTGTAATTCAGAGGGTAGCTGCATTAGAGAGTTTAAGAGGAAGTTCATTCCTTTAAAGATGGAGGACTCTTACAAATTTGACGACTGGGTTGCAGCCATGTTCGGAAGCCATTTGTATGTAAATTTCTCAGATGAGTCGGCCTTCGATGAAAAGTTTAAAGAATTGCTGAGACTTTTAGAGGATTACCCAAACTTGGTAAGGACCAAAAACATTTTTTTTTATTCTTAAAGGCTGTTTTCCACTAGGCAGATTTATTTGTGCAAATCGAAAGTGTCAGTTTGCCTACTAAGCTCTGATTGGTTGAGCATTTTTTCGCTTTGCAAGTATTCGCAAGTAGAAACAGTTCGAGCTACTGATTTCGCTGAAGCGAAAAACTGTGATAGAAATGTGAGTGCGCACGCGAATAAGCCGACGCTTTTGGTTCACACAAATAAATAAATTTGTCTAGTGGAAAATAGGTTTTAATCTCACAATTTATGTTTTGAATGCTTAAGATTTATTCAGCATTACTACTTTAGTGATTACCGTAAATGCTCACATAAGTGCCAATCTCAAATAAGCACCACACCAAAACTGATTTTTTCCCCGCTAAATACCGCTCTTGAATAAACGCAGTGGTGCTTTCGAGAGTGTAATATTAGCCTGTGTGTAATGAAACACTTTGAGAAACAGGGTTTCAAAATGTACAGTGTTAAAATGAATAAACACATCAAGACATTTCTTTATAAACTAAAAAGTAAGGACCTTTGATATGCTTACCGAACTACGGGAATACATGAAAGGTAACATGGGAACGAGCATGAGGAGCGCATATTTCTAGCGCCGCTCTTGAATAAGAATTCAGTTGCGGTTTCATTTTGTTTTTGTTTTCTCTTAACAGAAGCCTCAAGATCCTAATCCAGACCCACTTGTAACTTTGCTGCCACCACTTCCACCAGCAGAAGCTAGTCCAACATCTTCCGGGGCAACAAGATCACCTGAAAATCCAGGTTAGTTTAGTAACCTTCATGACATTCAACAATGGTTAAGTTTAAAAGGGTCTTACCTAAACCCAATTAGACTTGTCGAAATCCCAAATTTTTTTCTATTTTAATTCTGGGCAGTGCCAACGAGCGAATTATTGGTGAGAGGGGTTGCCTTGACTGCCTTTGCAGGCGCATTTTTTTTTAGCACATTCTTGTAATGATTATAAGACCTAGCGCTGTATGTTATGTATCATGGTCCAGGTAGAATGAAAATGCGCCAAATGCACCACAACGGCAGTCAGATTCCTGGTTCCACAACTGAGGGATTTTGTTTGCATATAAGTAAATTATTTCAAACAATTCTTAATTTCATATTTAAATACAAATGTCTTAGTGTAAGCCTTAACTTTTTTTTCAATAATTATTATTTAATGCAAAGTGAAACAAAGCTCGACTAGCTTTTAAGTGTATTTTTGGTTTCCTTATCTGCATATATGTCACTTGTGTTTTCTTGAAAAAAAAGGCGTTTTTTGATTGGTTCTAAGCCCCTACCGTACTTATCATTCCTCAGAGACCAATCACACCGTAGGGAGGTTATGATTTTACTGTGCATCTTAAAAAGAGCACTTTAGTTATAATTTTCAGATATTATTTATACAGAGTGCTGACAGCTGTACAGTTTTTGACTGTAGGATAATAGATGGAACATTTCACACTAGCAGTCCCTTGCGTAAACTATATTTATCCACCAGTCGCGTATCCCTGAGCCCACTTTTTTCTAAAAAAAAAAAAAAATAATAATAATAATAATAACAAATTAATTACTCTGGCATGAAAATAAGTTTACTTTTTTGGTGTTAGGATAATGCACTGAAATTAGAGAGCTACTATGAAAAAGCCTGCGTTGTCGCTATCATTGAATTTAAGTATTTACCTTTATTTAAGGAGATTATAAAATCATGACACGTGGAATTGAAGTGACACTTTTATTGTGGTGGTGGAGAATGTATAGCTGACTTGCTAACGCTATTACTACCCATGCACTTTGGTGTTACAGGGGTTTATTTATGAATTTGAGTAGCAGGAGAAATTTGAAAGTAACAGGAGAGTAAATTGAAATAGGCCGAGGATTTAGGAGGCTGCCTAGGCCCCCCATCGGGGTCCAGGGGCAGAGCCCTGGTCGGGGGTCAAGGGGGTGAAGCGCCATTGGGCTCCAGGGTTTTAGAGTTTTTTAAGCCCATTTGATGGCATTTTTCTACATCACTTTTTTAAAAACAGTTTTTCAGAATCAACTACTGAGCTGTAAAAAAGTTGATATTTTTACATACTGTATTCTTCATACATAGGCCTAGCCAAATAGATACTGTAAACCAGAAACTTTCGCGAATGGATGATTTCGGCCGTTTTCGCGACATTAAACTTTCGCGAATCTCAAAAAGCCTAAATTTTATTCATGAGA